CTGCTTTATCTAGTTTCCCCCTAAGAGTTGATTCTGGGGAACAGCATTCAATCTCAAATGTTGGCTCGTCTGTGGTGGTCTGGCTGCAAGGGTATGGATGCCGTGAAAGGATGATAGAGAGAGAGAGTAGGCTAATGACAAGGGTAGCTTCTTCAGGAAGAAGAAAGTAGGTAAACTGATTTTCTCCTCGTTCGAGATATCCTCCTCGTTTTCAAAATCATGTTCTCATAAATAAGCAATGATTATTGATTTTTTTCCCCGACATGAGTTTTTAAATCCTATAATCTCTTATTTGCAAATATAAGGTACCTTCACAAGGCAATATATAATTAACTAGGGGAAGACAAGGTTAAGTTAACGTTCTCAACAAAATAATAATTTCAAATTTGTAGGCCTTTAATTTCATTAGATCGTAGGGAAACCTTCAGAAAATAATTGGTAGGCCTTCTTGTCTAAAACTCTTCCTTGATGCAATTATGAATTTTGATCACAACATATATTTTATATGTTAGATCTGGTTTTCAAGAAACCTAATAAAGTACTCAATGAAAGAATTCCATTAATCGTTGAATCTGTTTAAAGTGTCTCAATTCAAGTCAAGCACTTATAAATTGGTCCCTTTGCCTTAATTTTGCTGATGATCCTTTTGGCTAAAAAAAATTGGGTTCAAGACTGATCTTCAATGCAACTATAATTTTTTTCCAAGGTATTTAACTTTGCGCCCTAACTCACATAAGATGAGAGAAAAACAAGAGAGAATGTGATATCATTTATTTGTTTCAATGATCTGTCCCAAACGAATCTCAAAGCTTCTTCATAGAGACTTTAAAGTATACAAAAGAAGGAAAAGAGAATCTATACAAAAGAAGACGACAAGATGCTATTTTCTCATCCTAATTTTAAGATACAACCCAATAAAAAAAGGATAGACTAACATATGTGAATTTTTTTTGCATAATACATGGAGAACAAGTCAGGCAAAAAATCGAAATGAGCAAATTTCCGTCCTATAGTAAGCATAAATTATAGGGAGGGAATCTAATGACTATATGTCACAAATTTTGTAAGGATATGAGCAGTATTATTTCTTGAGGTAAATATGTAAGGGATATTAGATTCTACTCAAAAGGATTATGCATATAATGAGAACTGATTAAATGTGTCTTGTGAAATTATGAAACATTGGAGAAATTCGAGTTGCACATGTATTGTTTGCATGCAATACCAATGTCATGAAATAAAAGTCTAATTACATCACTAAAAAATTCACCTAAGTGATCTTAGAACTTTCTATAGATATGGTTTGATCATTAACATCAATAGTGACTTTAGAACCTAATCTTTATTTTCACACTTTAAGAAAACAAACCTAGTTGGAAAAAATCCAAGAATAGTGATTGACCTTCTTCTACTAGGATAACCGACCTAGTCTACATCAGCATATGTATTCAACATTAGAGAAGACTTACTACGGAGGAATCATCCATGACATAATGTGCCTTTCTGTAGTGAATCATTTTGTGAACATCTACAAGATGTAAATGACAAAGATTATTTATGAATTGGCTCATTTATTAACAACATCATAGAAGTTGAGTGATGTTAACCTTGTTGAATCAGATTAAATTCATATGATTAATCTTGTTGGATCAATTACATTGAGTCCTTGTATTGAGTGAATTTTATCATGTATAATTATTATTGAATAATTATTCTAAAAATTATTAATATAATTTTCCATACTAAGAAAGTAACAATTAAATATTGGAATCAATGAACATTCTTGAAAGTATGAGTATGAAAGCTTACTCATTGTACTATGTACACATGATGTTAGATTATCACTTTCTAATGATTTTGATATCAAAATAATTGAATGAATGCAAACCACTCATACTATCGCACACACTTATTTAAATATGGACACATATATTTGAAAAAAGTTTCTAAACATCTCAAATCATTGAAACTATTATTTTACACAATGAGATCGTGAGTTAATGTGTCAATTTAATGATCATATTTTATTTGAGATGATTTATGAGTTTTGGATACCAGCTCACTTAGTTTAAACATATTTTATCATTTCTATTTTAACAAATGCTCCCTTAACGAAACACAATCAGCAGGTTCCCGTGTCACGATCCGATGACCCGCAATTCATCTCCAGGATGTAACGGAACTATTTATGAGAAAAGAAAATCCCCGTGCTGACGATACGACGACTCGAACTCGAATTAAAATAATAAAATGACACGTTACTGTACTAAGAAGAGGCTGGCTGACCGCAGCCTAGGCCGTCAAAGTCACATATGGGATTTCTTAGAGTTCCTGTTCGTGAAAAAAACGAACGGGTTACCCTCCCATCTTTGACTTCGAGTTTCGTCAAACAACCCAATCGCAACGCTGCCGAAGCAATCGCGCCTCTAGGGTTCGTGCTTTTCATGGGCTCTTGTCTGCGTTGCAGCGCTTATTTAACTAGGTTAGAATTGAATGCACGTCGGACATGTTCATATCTCGGCCGTCAAAAGGTCTGACTTGGGTTCTTTCTCATAGGTTCCGCCATCGGCCTTCCCACATTCTGGTCATCCGTGTTGAAGATAATCGTCAACACATATTTTGAACAGTTCAGGAGCAGACTTCCCCAACGGCGGCTTACTGTTTTCACGATTACTGGCCTTTCTATTTCCCACCGGAAAACTATGCAGGCAAAAATTCTATAAATCGACGCTCGACGAGAAGTCCAGGCCTACGAGCGAACGACCGGAGTCGCCTGAGCTCTCTCATCGCTCTCACACATGGAGGCCCTCCGGCTCTGGGCTACCGTCTACCTCCTGGGCTTCTTCTCTCTCTTCTTCATCATGCAGCTGTATGCTTACTTCCAATCCAAGCCAAGCCTCCCTCCCACCCATGGCGTTGCCGGTCCTCGGGCACTTCCACCTAATTGGCCCCAGCGTCCACCAATCACTTCACAAGCTCTCAGCATTGCTCGGCCTCTTGTTCCATATTCGGATGGGTTCCGTCCCGTTTATCGTGGCCTCCGACGCAGCCACCACCCGAGAGCTTCTCAGGGACAACGAACAGTGATTTGCCGACCGGCAAAGTGTGGAAACTATAGTCCGCCTGACCTACGGGGGTCGTGGCTTCATCTTCGCACCCTACGGCGACTACTGGAGGTTCAGGAAGAAGCTGTGCCTGACGGAGGCGCTGGGAGCTGGGAGCATGAAAAAGCTACAGTGGGTCAGGAGAGAGGAGGTACGAAGGTTCTTGGGGGTGTTGTACGAAAGGGCTGAGAGGAGAGAAGAGGTGGACGTTGGGGCGGCTCTTACGAGGCTCACCAACAACGTGATCTGCGAGATGACCCTGGGAAGGAGGTGTTCCGGAACGGACGGCGAGGTGGATCAAGTGATGAAGATAGTGGAGGACACGATGTCTGTCTTGGGCACACCCAACGTGGCGGACTTCGTCGGGTTCTGTACGAACCTCGATCCGCAGCGGCTAAGGAGGAGGTGCGAGGACGTGCACGGCAGGTTCGACAGTGTGATGGAGCGGATCCTCGTTGAGGAAGAGGGTAGAAGGAAAGAGAATTCCGCCAAGACTGGGCCTGCCCGTTGTCTCCTTCAGGTGCTTCTCGACATATCCGAGGACGGACGTGCTTCTCGACATATCCAAGACTGGGCCTGCCCAACCAAATATCGGATACGAATGAGGAGAGCCTCGGAATGATGTCCTGGGGTTTTGTACAGCCCCGCGTTCACCTGAGGCAATTTACGTTCGAACGGCAAATTTGAGAAGCGGCAGGCCGAGAATTTTGCCGAGATTCCAAGTTATCTTAGACGGAAAGTTTCTGATAGAGAAGGACGTAACGCCGTAGAGGAAGCTAAACATCAGAAGGATAAATATGGGCCGTTAAGTAGGAACATGCGCTTCTTGATTTAGCTGAAGCAAAGTGGCGTACTATCCTCTCAGATTCTTCACGTTTCTTGTGTTAGCTGCGTTTCGCGAAATCAGTGCAGCAACAATAAATCCCTGCAAACAGGCTGCATTTTGCACGCTTAAAACATGTAAAGTTATATTTTATATATTTTAATTTCAAACAAATATACTATAAGACTCCTACTCCAGCTGCCAACAGAAGGGAGACGGACGAAAATAAGAGTAAACTAGATAGATATTCAAGTACAACAAAAAATTAACAGGGTCCAAGAAAACCCCAATAGAACTTAAGAAGTAGTTTGATAGGTGACGTGACTTAGTCGTTCTATAATAAATCACGTAAATTTAAAATTTATAAAACTAGAAAGGATTAATTTTTAGATTTTTAAAAATATTTTATAATAAATCAATCAATTATAATTTGATAAAAGATTTCAAAAATAGTGAGAACTTTTCAGGTTGATCATAGAATGTAAGATCATATCAAGTAATATTTCAGAATTTTTCTAAGAGAATATAATTTTTTATGACTATTAGACTAAATGATAAATATAAAATATGTTTACAAATTCATGAAAAAAAAGAGAATAAGGGTGCGGACGTTCTGATGACATCAACACTCGACAAATATGAATCAAGCGGAAACAGATTTCTGCTCGGTGATTCTAACATAAGTAATTAAAGACCATTTAACAAGTCAAATTAAGTTATGTAAAAGCTAGAAGAATCATAATAATTAAATGAAGGATAATTATGGAACTTAAAATCACACAAAGTATTACTAAATTAAGTGAAAATTAAGTTTAAAGTAGGAAAGATAAGATTTTAGCTTCGTGACAACAATCACCAAAATTCTATGTTCATGAGGATTATCGTGTAATGTTCATAGTCTCGAAAGCTCTTCTTAGACATAGACGACGTGGGCAATCTCTAAATCTTCCTAAGAAGTCTAAAAATCAATAAAGAGGGTCATCAAATCATCTTTGACGGCTGTCACCCGGTGAAGTAGAAAAATAGTAATTTTGCGACTCTCTAACAATTGTCACCTAATGGAGATGAGTTGAATGGAAGTAGGGCACGTCTTAGAGAGCTTTATCTTTAGGTCCACATAGCAAGAGGAGCCTCTTCAGCACATCTAGTATGCTCCCAAGAGGTGGTGACTCATCTCCCATTGGATCATCTTTTTCTCAATGATGGCTTGTTCATCAATCAATCGGAGATGATTTACTTTATAAATTCCTAATCTTTTTATCTAAAATCATTCAACAATTTTAGTAATGATATTTTACGAATTACATTGATGATATTTTTGTTGATGATTAAGTGATTCTAGTGACTTAATCCTTCACTAACGATCTATAAGAAAATTATGATTTAATCAAATAAAAAATATGAATTTTAGCTCTAGTAGGATTCAAACCCTCATCGCCCACCTTCATGAGAGAGTAAAATAAGTACTTTAATATCCTTATACAGTGACATCATCAAGGTGTAATGTTGTTATAAATAATGATTATTTTAGGTGTTAATAACTTTGAAAAGCTTCATAACACTAGTTTAGTTGCACATGATTCTTTTACGAGTTTTAAGAAGTATATATAATAACATAACATCTTACGATCAATAAGCCTCTCTATCAAGTGTGTAAGACTACTCTTTGCCCCATGCTTGACTAGCCACCAATGACGTAAAAGGGGAGCGACGCACACGTGTCGCCCCTATCAGTATGTCATTAGCCGCTCAAGCTCACTACTTGTGGCTCTACTTGAGTGCACTTCCAACCCGCTTGTGGGCCCGACTGGCCAACGGCTTCCCTCTTTTTTTTATCATATTTTTTTTCATTTTTCTTAAAAATAAGATCATAAAAATTATACAAATTGACATAAAATCACATAATTAGCCACAAATTCACATTAACCTAAAAACTAATTTTCATAATTTAACATAAATATAAGTCTATTTATCATGAGTTAAGGCTAAAAATATATTATTAATTAATTATGAACTCATGATAATTTGAATGATGAAATCACCAAAATGAGGAAGGTCATTGATTGACGAAATGTGAATTGTATTAAACAAAAATTAAGAATTCAATCACAACCAATAGGGGCTTTTCCCTCTTGTTTTAATAGATGTGGGGAGAGAACAACAGCCTTGCATAGGGGCTTCTTTGGTTGATCCTCTTCTTGCTGCACCAAGGAAGGAGATCCACGATCGTTGCCCAGCACTGTCACCATCAAAAGGGGAAGGATGGAAGAGCTGGCCTGCCTATGGTGTGCAGGCAGTGCCGAGGGAGAAGGTGAGAGGAGGTTAGTTCCACAGTAGGAGAGAACCACACCAAATATGGAAAGAGGAAGAGGTGATCACGAATGAGAGGGTAAGTTGGTGGCAGGTCCCTTTTTTGGGATCATGTGCCCTAATGTAGGCATGCCCCTTATGCCCCTCTCAATCTGCAACAATAATAAGTCAATTTTATAGTTTTGTCTTTTTATGTTCACTAATTCTTCTATCATCGATGATGAAACAAGGAATAAATATATGCTCATGCTCAAGCATCATGATTATTCATTAATCATCTGCCCTCCAAAAACTATCAATCATATATTTCTCCTCTCATTTATCTTAATGCTCTCATCCTTATAGAAAATAGAAAAATAATACAATTCATAACCATCATGTGAAAAAGCATAAGTAGAGTATTGAATGTGTACTCATCATATTCCTGTATTCTTTAGGTTTTAAACACTAATGTTCTCGCCCCTTTATTATGATAATTACTCGAATTATCTGAAAGTGACATCCCCACAATATTGATCTATGTGATGTTTCATATAGACTAGAGCCTTTTGGAGACGATCTTTTAGTGGCTATAGAATTTTATCTCATTCCTAGATTAATTTATATATTTCTATGTTAGGTATATGAGGAGATCCATAATGCATTAATGAGGAGATCTTTTACTAGATTACGATGCAAGCTGTTTTTTCCTTATTCAAGCGATGATCTTGGTATGTAAACATAAATAACAAAAGTAACAACATCACCCTTGAAGATAATCCACAAACTCTGGACGTCCACATGTGAACCGATACTTCAAAGTGACAATTCAATCCTACAATGTTGTCTAGGTGCTTTCAGAAAAAGAAGATCACACGTTACAAGAGGCAATAAGTATAACCCATCATACGTTACAAGGGCATTATTCTCGACTTTGGACGAATTCTTGAGACGACAACTGGTAGTTATTGACCGTATATCCCGATTCAACGCTTAGTAATGATCACACTAAAAGGAAGCCTCGTCCGGGGTGCTGGTGCTGATGGCCAGTGTTGAAAGGACGGGAGTTAGCCGGGCCTTGGGTGTACAAACCAGCGGGTGAGCCCTAGATAAGGTCGCCCCATACCCCTCCGTCATATCCACCACCCCGCCCTCGACACTCAGGTCGAAGCAGTGTATCACGTTCGCCAGGGTTGTGTGAATCAGCTGCAGTGCCAGGGATAAACCAGGGCACCTCCTCCTGCCGCTGCCAAAAGGTAAGAAGTGGTAGTGCTGGCCTCTGACGTCAATACCGAAACTCTGCCCTTTGGCCGTGAACCTTTCCGGCCTGAACTCCAGCGGGTTCTCCCACTGGTTCGGGTCTCTCCCGATCGCCCAAACATTGATCGCGATCCCCGTGTCCGCCGGGATGTTGTATCCCCTGAACTTGCATGGCGCATTTGATTGGCGAGGGAGGATTGGAACGGCGGGGTGGAGCCTGAGCGTCTCTTTGACGATCGCCTGGAGAAAGGGCAGGTTTTGAATATCGGACTCTTCCACCAACCTGGATCCACCGACCACCGAGTCGATCTCTCGCCTTGCGTCCTGTAGGATGGCCGGGTTGTTTATCAGCTCCGCCAAGGCCCATTCCATTGTGACGGACGTCGTGTCCGTGCCGGCCATGAATAGATCCTGTTCAGAGAGGGAGTAACTACTACTTCAGTTTATCTAAAAACGGCCTTAGTGGCGCACTAATCCACTTTGCTCCTCAAAGCCAAAGAAAATGGAACGTGAAACCCAGGTGCACGGAGGACCGTAAAATGTCGATGGAAAGCGGACGAAGATGGTGAGGGTGGATCGCAGTTACGTGAATGAAGCTCTTGATGTTCTCTCTCGACAGCCTCATCTCCGCACCCTCGTCTTCAGATATGTCGAGTAGTACGCGAAGGAGACCCCGGAAAACGCCGTCGGCCCCCGTCTTGCCGGACTTCTTTGTCCTCAGGGCGTCCTCCTCCTTGAGGATTCGCTCCATCAAACCGTCAAACCTGCGATGTACGTCTTCGTACCTTGATTTGAGATGTTGCAAGTCGAGCTTGTTACAGATTCCCACGTAGTCCGCCACGTTGGGGGTGCCTATGAGCGCCACCGTCTCCTCCACCATTCTCTTCACTTGCTGGGCCTCGCCGTCCGTTCCGGAGCACCTCCTTCCCATAGTCATCCCGCAGATGACGTTGTTAGTAAGCCTCGTGAGCGCCGCCCCGACATCCATCTTCTCTCCCCTCTCTGCCTTCTGTTGCAGCATCTCCAACAACGTTCCTATCTCGTCTCGCCTGACCCCTTGTAGCTGCTCCAACATCCGACCACCCAGCAATTCGGACAGGCATAGCTTCTTCATGAACCTCCAGTAGTCGCCGTAGGGCGCGAAGAGGAAGCTACGGCCCCCGTAGGTCAGGTGAGAGATAGCTTTGGAGCTTTGCCGGTCGGAAAAGAAGAGTTCGTGGTCCCTGAGAAACTCTCTGGCTGTGGCTGCGTCGGAGGCCACGAGCAACGGGACGGAACCCAGCCGGATATGGAACAGGGGACCGAGGCCTGTGGAGAGCCTGTAGAGGGACTGGTGGATGGTGGAGCGGAGTAAGTGAAGATGCCCGAGGACCGGAAACGCCATGGGGCTGGGCGGGAGGTTGGGCCTGATTTGATGGTACGCAAAGAGCTTCATGATGAAGAGGAGGGAGAAGAAGGCCAGGAGTACGACGGCAGCCCAGGATCGTAGGTCCTCCATTACTGGGAAAGATGGTGGAGCTCGGACGAAATTGGGTGCTAGCACGTGGGCCTTTCGTTTGCTGCTGCATCCATACGTGATTTATGGAGCCTCGCCATGCAAAGTTTTCTCCGGGGAAAATGACCGGCGGCGTATCGTGTTGACGCAAAACCGCCGCCTCGCTGGATTTTCAAAACGTATGAAAAAGATAGAGCTTTCTCCCTTCTCCGGACTGAGAGGCGTACCCAAATTTGTCTGTGTAAACAACCGGCGGCAGACTTCTCCGAGCTAGTGTGATTCACAGAGGTGAAAAGATAGATAGATAGATACATAGATACATAGATAGATAGCTAGAGAGAGAGAGAGAGCGTCCGGCGGTCGACGGCGGGAGGAGACGGGATACTCCACATGCGTCCGGTTCCTCAACGCCGCCTTGTAAAACAGAAGGGCAACTTAAACAGTGGTCGACCAGTAGGCCTATAGAAACAGCAACGTGCAGACTCTACACTCCGTCATCAACAACCAGAGAGAAAGAAGGACGTCGCTGACTCAAGAGGACCGGTGAAAAAAGGGAAGCATAGCGCAATTCGGGGCACGGCTCCTTGCGCAGAAGGAAAATGTTAACAAAAGGTATTAAATTAACAAATGGTTGGCATGCTTGAAATAATCTGGTCCACGAGGATATCTATGTTTCAGTTATTCCTTGAAAGCCTTGGACCTTACGGAAAGCCTGCAGCAAGTTATCAAAGTGAAACTTGGTGCAGGCTTCCCATGTTCCGCTTTCAATGAAATAGGAACTAGCTGAGGTCGTCATGCTCAATTTCTGCAAGGGATCCAGTTACACATAATTGATCGTCCATATTTTACTGTCGTCTACATAGTGAAACCTATTGGTACAGCAAGAGGGCCTTGCTGCACACTGGATGCTTATCCTGATGATGAGAATTATGCCATATTTTTCTCACCAGAGTGATTATGTTTCTGTCTTTTTATTCGCAAGTCTTTTAATGATCTTTCAGTACACATGATCTGGTAACTTACACATTATTGACCAGACATATATGCTGAGTATTTTGTACCTCATGTCACTCTTACCAAGAAAGTTTCTTGCCCAAGAAGGGCTCTGGTTCTCAAAAGAATTGCGGAGACAATCTTTTGTAAGTGCGACTTGGTTAATCCATTGGGGGAGGCCCGTCCGGACTTCTCTCCCTTTTAGCCTTATTTCGGAGATGTTTTCGGGTACTAAACCAGTCCTGCCCCTTTATAAAGTAGGTATATAGGGAACTTTGGGAAGAAGAAGAAAAGAGAGAAAAATCAAAAAATGAAAACTCCTTTCCTCTCTAGTGGCTGAAATCAGGGTTCCGGAGTTTCTTCACCTTCCTGTGTGCAAGTTAGAGTTTCATTTAAGCTATTTACTACAATACTTTGTTCTTCATTTCAGGGGATATTATTCTATTACTTTTAGTGGCTGTAAGAGGGTGTCTTAACCTCTTCATATCACATTAAATCCATGCTGCCTTCTTCCAACTCAATATCATTTATTACTTTGTGGTTATTGTCATATTGTGCTCTTTCTTCCATTGCAAAACCAAGCGATCATATTAAGGTCCATTAACCCAACAAAATAACATCAGGGTATGATTGGGGGTCTTTCTTTGGTGTTTTGAAGAGAAAAAGACATCTACAAAGTTTTGTACTGAGAAGTTTGACTGGAGCATCAACATTGGAGTGTGGCATGTCAAGATGAAAATTCTCTTGATCCACTAAGGGCTACATTAGATGTTGCTCATGAAGGAGAAAATGTCAAACACAGTCATTAGGGGAGAAAGTAGAATAAGATGATTTTTTTTTGCTAGGATTCATTAAATTTGTCAAATAAGGTTTTACAAGGGGTCATTCATGAGAAATCAATGGTTGAATCAATGCTCAACTTGGAGTCATGTTTATTGTATACAATCAGGTCACTTATCGATAAGCTCTTTTTTAAGTAGTGTTTATTCTTATCAATAGAATCATATCTTGATTTTTTTTATTCAATTTAGAAATTATTGGTGTCAAAGGGGAAGAAGAAGATCAAACTTTTTTATTGCTTTGTTCTTTGTTGATGAGAGGAAGAGAAAATCCTAAAATTCATATATTGAAGAAAAAGAGTACATGAGGTTATATAAAAGAGAGGAAGAAAGAGAGAGAGAGAGAGAGAGAGAGAGAAAGAAGTGAAAATCATGGAAGAAGAATAGGGATGTGGAGAGAATAAGTCCAAAATGGGGGGCCCAATAGACTTATTTTAACATTCTTTATCACTGTGATATAAATGATTTTGAGAAACCTTATTATATGGTAGAGGTTTTATATCCATTGAAGATGTTAAATATTCTTTATTTATGAAATAGTTAATGGGAAAAGATATGACTAATGAAAGTTGAGGACAACAATCAAAGAGTCTCACTACTAGAAGTCGACTTAAGGAGAAAAAAACTCAGAGAAATAAAGGAGAGATTAGATCCAAATTTAAAACCACAAATAAATTATGCAATTATGGACATAATAAGGATATTTTTAAGCTTATTATTTAAAATGAAAAAGAAAGTATCAAACTAAAGGTATGAAATACTCGAAGAAGAGAGTGTCAACCATAGTCTCTCAATCTAAAGATGATTGCATCTTAGATTTCGGTTTCTTATACCACATGGATTTTATTTCATCCTCAAATTAATCTCTACCTTGAAAATGCTATAGATTACCTCATTAACTATATATAACCAAATTTTACTTACCTTCAAATCTAACTCCACATAGTCATCATGATTTAATTTTTCCTCTTTTTTATTTTCATAGGTAGCTTTTTGAAGTCTTCATTATAAAATAATTACCTTCACTCTCTTTTGCCATAAATTGAAGTTTTTTTAGTCAAATTCTGCAACCTCATATTTTTGCAGTTCACATCATTAAAATACTAGACCTTATGTGGTAGCACAAGGTTCAGTCAAATAGTATGTTATAAAAACAAAAGGATACAAATTCCTGCGGAACAAGATGAATTGCAAAATATGTTACCTACTATGCATGGATGTGTACATGTATCAAGGAAAAAATGTCAAGATAACGGGAGTGTAGACAATAAAAGAGCACTAAGAAGTGATCAACTAGGACTAACATGGTTGGGGAAAATCCTTCTAGATCCATGGAGAGAGCTACAGATTTTTTTTAGATGGAATAACAAATGGAAGGAGAATCTTAGATGATGGTTGAATCTTTTTCTTCGTCTTGATGGTAAATGTTTAAGGTGGTGTGCTCAAAATGATCCTTTTCGTTCTTCATGAGACTCACTCACTAAAAAATAGTCACTTGAAGACTTTCCAAAAACTCTACATTTTTTCCCTTAAATACAGGCGAGCGAGAGAGAGAGAGAGATTTTTTCTTATTCTCTCACCACGCCTTCTCCAACTTTCTCACCACCTGTCACTACTATACACTCCACGTTTCTGCTACGTCACTCCCTTTTAACTAGAGGAAGAGGAGAGAGAGTGAGAAAGGATGGTAGGTCGTTGGAACTTCCACCGATTTTTTTTCTCCCTGGCCGTTCGCTGAAAATAGGAAACGACCAACAGTTTTACCAATCGAATAACAACACAGTTCTTAGACGAGAAAGCATAGGGAACTGTAGATAAAACGGCCATTAGCGTGGAGGCTATCCTGCCTTCGGCGTACGGCATTCGCAGGGCAATAATGCCACGCTACTGACAAGTACATGTCAGCAACACCGACGCCCGCGAAATTTGATGTCATTAGAAACAACTGAAGACGAACTAAAAAGGGTGAGAGCTTGTAGGAGAAAACCAAAGTTTCTTATCCTCGGACGAAGAGAGGATAATTATTATCTCACCGATAAAAAGTTTCTTTGAAAACCAAAGAGAATCAAAGGATCTTTGTAACAAAAGATAATAGTATCTTTGAAACTCTCAGGGTCTGCAGAGAAAGTCAAAGGCTTAGAAAACTCTTCGGCCCTGGTAGATTGAGAACAAGTCAGAACCGGAAGTTTTGGACCGAAAAAGCAGACGTAGGCTAACGCTACTACAAAGGACTCGAGGCAGGCTAGTAGTCGCTAAAAACACTAACGAGTGTCGTAAGTTAGCTCAGTTACTAGTCCAACAGTAGAATCCACCAAATTGAACCCAGGAGGGATATAATTGCTTCAAAGTCAGATAATTTGAGCCTGCAGAACGAGGGTGCCAAAACGCGGCGGAGAGAATAAACGAAGCTCGATTGCGTGCCTTTGCTAGATAGCAGCATAACAAATGCCCGATTGCGTGCCTAGTTAACGGCCCATAGTTACCCTTCTGTGGTTTCCTGTACGCTGTCGAAGGCTCTTCTGTCTCTGAAATTTTCTATCGTAGATAACATGGAATTTTGGCGAAAATCTCGGCTGGCCGCTCCTCAAATATGTCGTTTTCTAACGTAAATTGCATCAGGTGAACGCCGGGATGGACACAACCCCGGGTCTTCAACCAAAGGCTCTCCTCATTCGTATCAGATATTTTCTTGGGAGTCATAATTTCAATGTGAACAACGTGATAGAGTTGCCTTCATAACAAGACGGTAACATACGCAATAAAAGTATCCCTCCAGACATTTTGCGACATTATTCACTATTTTATTTACGGTCAGGACAGATCATTGATGTGACAACTCTACTAGTTGATCTAGTAACCAAATTCAGCGCCTTTAATTGGCAATCGTCCTGTTGCTGTTGACCGGCTCTGAAGGAACAGGGGTTAGTTGGGTCTCGAGTGAACGAACCAGCTGGTGAGTTCTCGGCATGGATGCGCCGTGCCCCACCGTCGTCCGCCACCCCGCCGACGACAGTCAAGTCAAAACGCGGGTGGTATATGAATGCGCTCCAGTGCCAGGGACAACCCTTGAATACGAACCGTCACAAAACACACGGCGGGGAAGAGAGACAGAATATTCGTCTGCTATATAAATGCCCTTGGTCGCACCCTTTTGACCCACTAAAGACTAAA